CCCCCCCCCCCCCCCCCCGCCCCCCCCGTCGCCCCTATTGGTGGGGTAGCCCCCCCGGGGACGGCCGGAGAGAGACGAGAGTAGAGGACATTAGCAGAGGCGCTTCAGGGGCTTTCAAAAATGCACATTCAGGATCAGGATGGCTTTTTCCAATCTTAGGAAAGGATCAGCCGGTGACACAAGAAAGAGGGATGAACGCTCAAGAGTGCAGGGGAGAACCGTTGAGTTTCTGGGCTCTTTCAGTTCAGGGATTTAATAAAGAGGAAATATTATTGGGGGGAGAGGGAGGGAGCGCACCCTTGCATTTCACATGCAGATGCATTTAAACTGAATTATAATCCAACCTGAAAACATTCTGGGAAAACAAAATACAGCGCAAGGAGTCTGCCAAGCCTTCTGGGCCAAGGGATGAACTGTTGCACAGCCAGACAGTCCAGAGTTTAAAAACAGAACTACTCTTATGCAAAGAAGGCAGGAAGGCAGCCGGGCTTAGAGCCCGAGTCACAGGATAAGGCTTAAAGGATGGTTTCATTTGCGTTTTGTGCAAAGACACATTTATCTGCACCAGGCATCTTTTTCTCTGCTGCAGCTCTTGAGCTGGCCATCCCCCGGGAAATCTAAACTACCCCAGAGGGGGCTGGCTCCCATAAAGCAAAGACTGTCCATCCAGCAGTTCCCCCAAGTGCTTCTGAAGTTGCTCCTGCTCCCCTAGCACTTAGGACCCACCGGCCCCCTCTTTGAGCCCTCTCAGGCAGAGATTCCACTGGTCCAGTCACTACTTCTCCGTCCTTCAGGGCTGCTCTGATCACACTGTGTGGGAGGAGAAGAAAGAGCCCTACAAACGCCTGAAATTTCTTCACTGGCACTCGCTGGCAAAGAACGGTGGTAACAAGAGGAACACAAGCCTCCAGGGAGGCAGAAGTGACACAGACCGTCAGATCTGAACTTCCCCCTCTGCAGCAGCCAGCGCCAACCAAATTAATGGTGTAGGGGCAAGACCCATCATGCACACTTCTCTCATCCATCAGTTTAAATTATATAAGCATATAAAGAGCATGACTTGCCACTTTACCCCTCCTTTGCTTACACGATGGAGCATACTCATCTGGGATTCAGGTCATGTTGACCCAAATCAGTTCCATTTCTTGGGGTTGCCTTTGTTTTTTCTGTGATTATGGCAGGACATTAATGTAAAAAGTTAGATTGGTTTTTGCAGTTCAAGGGTTCAGCTATGCAGTGCACAGATCTGGAGCCTGTAATTCCTCTGAAAATCTATGGACCAACGTACACATTTTTCTTTAGCTTTTCCGGTATATGTAGGAATAAAAAAGCATATTTAAGGATTAAATGAAAAATCCACAACCTAACTGGTATCAATGAAATTCAGCCCCATCAATTCACTTTACTTGAAACCTGAAGACCAATTATTCACAGCCAGGGCACCCTTCACCCTTCAAGCATGGCCAATGCTGAGAATCCTGGGAGTTGACCCCCTGATTTCTGAAGGCCCCCAGTTTGTGACTCCCATGGATCACCGAAGAAGGTGGCTGGCAGAGTCGTGCCTTAGCAGCAGAGGATTTTCACAAGTGCCTGGGCTGATCTCACGCCCTGCTCCAGAGTTCCTTGTACCGTTTTGCAGGTAAAAACTCCTTAAGGAGACACTTTTGTGGGTGTGGTGTGGGAGGGGAAGAGTGCCAACTTCCAAATGGCAGCCTCAAAGCCCTTTCTGCAAATGCAGTATGATGATCTCCAATTACGGCCAGCAGAAAACCCCCTCAGATGGTTCAGAAGGGAAAAATGGGGGCACTGAGGTTGCCAAGTGACTTGGAAACAAAATCCAACAAATTAAACTAATGAACACTTCCTCCTCCCAAATTATTGTACAGCAATTGTTTCCAAAGATTATAGCGCTCCTGTTCCTGAAACTTCCTGTTAGGAGAGGGCTACTCTATGTGGGCTGGAAAAATGGCAGCAAAGCGTTAGGGCTTTCTGTATCTCTCAACTGCCATGGAGTTGTCAACTGGAGTTCTGTAACCCAGACATGGTAAGCCCACCTTATGGTTGATGGAATGCAAATATACAGCTTGCTTATTTATTGAGCTGATGAGTTATATGACCACCCAACTCACAAATTCCAACTACCATCCTCCTTCCATCTCTTATGTGGAGGAGACAGAGAGTTCAACACCCCAGCCAGTCCCAGCCCCTCAATATCCACCCCTGAGAGGTCCTCCCTTCAGACTTCTCCAGTCCTGCGCTTGTCAACAGCCCATTCTTCAGAGCAGAAGAAGGGAAAACTCCAGGGTGGCCAATAGGAGATACTCCAGTCCCTCTGAGTTCCACTGCAGCACATGAAAGGCAGAATGGAAAAAGTGTGGCCGCTTCAAGGTGTTGCAAAGAGGTGCAACATTTGTGCTCCTGTGTGCTCTTGACTTTTGGGAAACAGAATCCAAAGAGCCGTAGAGCTGTAGCATCTCAGAAGTACAAGAACTGAATTAATACAGGAAATAGATTTGGAGAGTATCTCTGATCTCAAATGAATAACCAATAACAGCAGTATTATAAAGCAGTACCAGTAAAATCCTTTTCCACAACTATTCATATAGGACTTGTATTGGGAAGAGAAAATTGCCATCTTACATATGTAAGATGGCAATTTCCTCTTCCTAATACAAGTCCTATACAAATAGTTGTGGAAAAGGGTTTTACAGTCTAAAGAAAATTTCAGGAAAAAAAAATCCATCAAATAAATGAGGCATATGCAAAACAATGTTAGTAATGATTTGGAAGTTAAATCTGAAAAACACTTGTAGAAGTTACAAACACCCACAGGCACTTACCTGCACAGAAGATTCCAAGATCTTATGTTTATTTTATTTAATTAATGCAAAGCTACTTAGCTTTGAAACATCTTGCCTTGAGAAGCAATTATCTCACAGAGGGTGAAATGAATGAGTCTTCTGTTAATGTTATGTGACACCATATATTAAGGACATAATAGAAAGGTATAACCTGTCTATACTATACTTTTTAAATAGGGCATATATCACAACGTAACTATTCATTATACATCCAAGACAATGGCATTCAATAAATGTATTAGGAGACAGTGATGGCACTAAATGGAAATTAAGGTACAAAGAGTTCTTGACATGAAATTCTTTGGAATTTAACAGAGCTTTTCACTTTAGCACCTGAAAATGCCAACAATTAAAGCTAGAACATACTTGGAAAATAGGATAAAGAACAATGAAGCAACGTAAAGGAAGAAATGAACTGTACGTATCTTAACTTAATTGTTGAAACATATTGCACTAAAATGTCAAATTCTAAGTTTAGACCATAGATGAAACTCATCCCTCTAAGTTCTACCATTCAAACATGATCAAGAGGGAGGGAAAAGTGTGGTGAGAGGAGCAAGGCATCAGAGAAGGGGTGGGAATCCTGTGGTCCTCCAGATGTTGTTGAAGCACAGGTCCCAGCATCCCTCAGCGCTTATAGTCCGGGTGCCTGGAATAGCTGAAATTGGTATTAAGCAGCAAGAGACACATGGCCTCCTTCCTTATCTCCTCCTGCTCCCACCCCTTCCTCCAGAAAGTCGACAGAGCCTGGTGGCTGCATGGCCCTCCCTTGCTGGGATAGGGAGACTTTTTTTCCAGCTGGATAACCTCAGGGCACTGATGTTCGGAAAAGGAGGGAACTGATGTAAGATGAACTAAGGCCCATGCGCTCTTTGCTCCCTTCTGCTCCTCAGCAAGGAGCCTTGGTTTCTGTCTGGACGTGTGGGGGTGGAAGGGGGGGCAATTCAAGGAGATTGGTTTTCCAAGTAAAAAAGCAACCCTCAGTGGTGACCTGGCCATGGGATTAATGGTGCTGGGATTAAGGAGTGGCTGAAGTTGATGGAAGCTGGTGGCAATGAGATGCACTGAGCTTGAGTTTATTTGGGGTAGAAGTTAACAGCAGCCATTTGAGATGACTAAGGAAAAAGTGTGGACATACGGTGCAAGGAGAGCTTTGCTGGGCATTTAAAAAATTATTCTTGAAAAATGAGGAACATGAAAACAAAATGTATTATGACCAGCACGAAGAGGGTGGTGAGAGGAAATGATATGTGGTAATAGCTGGGCTAAAACAAGATGATTACCTCACGGTGATTTAGAAGCCTTTCCAAATCTGCTGCCATTTGATTCTTGACCCGCAGCAAAGCCTTCTTCTCTTGATTTAACAGACTGGTGGGAAGAAGAAAATGGTTTAGGAGATGTAGTAATACTGTATCCTAGTTGCAATGTGAGTTTTTAAAATAAATTGCTGGGAATTATGCACATATAGTTCCTTTTTGAGAAAGAAAACATGAGTATTTTCTTCAGGCTACGATCCATATAGATAATGTAAAATAGCACCCAAAGCATCTGAGTGGTAGGACAAAGGTTTCGTGGATGTCTGATATATTGGTTTATGTAGTTCATGCTCTGTCATGTTTTCCAAGTGAGAGGGGAGAATCAGTTGAGCTAATTATTTTTAATTTGACTTTATACAGACAAGACATGCTGCATTTGGATTATGGCACTGTTCGTGGTATGGTTCTGGCCCCTTCAATTCAAAGAGGCGGCAAAAAACTGGATAGGGTTCCGATTCAAATTATGAGGTTGATCAAAGGCTTTAGGAGACTTCCGAGAAGATCCGAAATCCTCCATGTTTAATGAAGAGTACAGGTTGACAATAAAATAAGAGATGACTCCTCATTTCAGGACAGAAGGGATGATTCACATCATAAGGAGTTTTCCCTTTTGTTCAAATATCAGTACTTACACTGGAGAAGCAGCCAGGCAGGGGGGCATCCACTAGTGATCTTATTCTGTCTAGCTAAGTAAAAAAATCAGGTGAGCAAGATGAAAAACAAACCCGTAGGGACACTTTTTCTGAAGAGTTAAAATCAGGGAACTTTGGAGCCCCCAATCTCACCCCAAAATTGTGCAGCAGAAACCCAGCAGCCTTCACAGCATCCTGGGCAGTTACAATAACAGGATTTGGTGGGATCAGCAAATGCCTCCCTTTCTGACACCCAAGATAGCAGAACAGAACTGTCTACCATTGGGAAAGGAAAGTCTAATTGGAGACAGAGATCAGACAAACGATTAGCCAAGTTTGGGTTCAGCCACATAAGTGGGACATGAGAAACCAGTTAATTAAATAATTGAAAGAGATTTACAGGCAATACAAGGGCTGAAGGCTAGGCTAGGGAGTAAAAAAATAACCTGGAAGAAGGCAATGACTTCCGCACCGTTTAAAAAAAGGAAGAAAAGAAACAGCAAACAGCTGTGGCTATGAAATTAGCAAGAGCAGCCCTCGACTTCTGATAGACCACAGTTGCCATTCCCAGAAAAGCTCCGTAGCTGACTTTACCTGCTCTTCTCAAACCTGCTGCTTCCGGGGTTGTCCAATTCTGCTATCTGTCAGAGTGGCCAAAGAGTCTGCTGAGCAGAGGCCCAGAACCCCCCGTGCCAAGATGAGGCAGCTTGGCACAATTCAGCGCTTTGCTGGGACAAGGCTCAGGCGAGAAGCCGGCAGGGGTCATACCTAACAGGCAAAGAGCCAAGTGCTGCTCCGTCAATACAGCTGCGGTTTTAACGTTAAATGTGGGCGAGTACTACAGTGTTGTCCCTATCAGCGATGGAGGTGTTCTGTGGCCACAGAAGGTGTTGCTTGAATTCACAATGGCTGCCCCAAGAGAAAGAGACAACGTGGTGCAAAACAGGGACTGCAGAAGCTCTTGCGTACCTCACATTACGCCAGAGAGATGCCAGGCAGGCCCATCTGTTTGAGGCACTAGTTCCTAAATGAATGACACAATGTCTCTTTCTCTCTCCTTGGGGAAAAAGCAGAGTGCCCGGCACGAGAGACGGAGCTCATGACTCAGAGGCACCAGAGCCCTGAGCAGGGAGATCGAAGCTCCAAGAGGGCTGGTACCATTGCGAAGGGATAACACAAGTTATATCGGCTCTTGGCTTTCAAGAAGAGGAAGAAGTCATGTATGCGATTAAGATGACAATCCTGCTTTTAAATGACTGAGCTCTGAAATGGCTATTCAGCTGAGAATGGCAGCGCTTTGGGAAAAAAGCTTGCTGAACAGGAAAAGTAAAATTGTGTAATTCATGGTGTGCAATCAACCAACATAATGCAGTGAGGTGCAAACAAAGAAACAACAAAGAATGTTATGCTGGGAGAGAATAAAAACATTCAGCTAAATCTTCCAGTGTGAAAGATGTTTGCTTACAAGATGTTCATAGAGCTTGCTACAGAACAGAACAGAACCGTATGCAGATGGTTTTTAAGAAAAAAAAGATTCTAGATTCCAACCGAAACTCAAAATCAAATCTGGAATCTTTACCTAATATCCTTTTCATATTGTGCAATACGTTCTTTCTGCACAAGTATCTGAGAATCTCTCTGCTGTACAGACTCAATAAGGTACTTGTAGGGCTGCTGCACTTGGCTCAACAGGGAATTAGCTTGGTCTCGCTGAAAAAAAGAAGGAAAAATCTATGAACACTTACTGTAAATTATGAAGGGCAGCTCCATATATTGTCTCCTCCTCTCTCTTACAATGTAATCTTGACACCATATAGGAAGATCTTTTTTAAAAAGATGTAGGGTGGAGCTAAACCCCCATTAAATACCATTGGCAAATGATTGTAAGGGAATCTCAGTTGTTTTGTTTTTTCCCAGTTTTTTGGCATTTCAGCAGCACTTGAAAATTACATAACTGTACACATTACTTCAAAGAAATCACAAGCAGATACATATTTAGGGCAACTGATCCTATCCCAGAATTTTTAAATGCAGGTGCTGTTTTCAAAGAAAGAAAGGAAGAATCATAGAGAAAAGTACGTTCTGTTGAACTGTACTCTTTCCAGAGGAAATAGCCCAGGCAAACGTTGTACTTTTACTGTGTAGAGGACAGCAGAGGACAAGGTCTTCGGACAGTTCACGGGGGTCAGGAAGAACATTTAAGACAATTCTGAAAATCTGTTCGCGCTTGCCAGGGACTCAAAGGGATTCTCAGTATACAGTAGCTAAAGGAGTGTAATCAAGCTTTACCTTGGAAAAACCAAACTGAGATTGCCTCGGCTAGATTTGGAGGCCGGAAGTGCTTGGGGATGGTGGGAACGGCAAAACGAGTGTTGGGGCATTGAGATGCAAGTCCTGCTCCTTCGGCACATGCACTGTGACACCGGAGCTTGCCTGGCGACACCACAATGCTTGTTCTGTCATTCTGCTGGAACCCCTGGACTCTGCGATACCCCGGGACATGGTCTTGATGCAGAGAGGCCTCGCGTGGTTTAAATGGCTGACACAGGAGACCTGCTGTGGGGAGCATCCCAGAGGAAAGCAATTTCTGGCACAGTGCTTCTACATGGGAAGAACCATAAAACCAACCTGGGACTGAGAAGATTTTAAGACTCCTCCGTTAATAATTTCTGTGTTAAAGAAGCCGGGTAGTGTTATTTTTAGTTCCAGGGAGAGAAAGAGAGCAGGGAGCCATTTGCCAAAGTCATCTGTCCCCATTTTGTTACTCACAAAACAGATGAGAAGTCTTACCTTCTGACTGAAAAACATTATTTGAAAACCTTAATACAATTCGGAATATGCCAATAATCAATTCCGTTTAACATTTTAAAAGCAATGGGTGGTTGATACTCATAGCCAGCTTTTAGACAGGCTAAACCATGGATTTATTTTCAGAAGCAAGACATTTAATTTGGTCTGTTTAAAACTGAAGCTTCAAAGAAAAACTCAGTCAAAGAAAAAATCAACAGGACTTACTTCTACCTGGTGTCTCTAAGTTGTTAGTAACATTTTTTGTACTTGGGAAAATGGTTATTAAAGGACATTTGCTAGAAAGTGAATGACAATTCTGCTTCATCCTTCTGGAATTCAAACAGCTCCAGTACAAAATAAAATAAAAGACACTAGCTATGTATTTGCCATAGTACTGCTCAGATAATGACTTATGCCTGTGAGGAATTTTCAAATTCTCAGTATCTTCGAAGAATCACAACGTTTATTTTGGGAAAGTACTGCCATTAAAGGGAAATCCTACGTTGTCCTCATCCTCTAGCTGGAGTGCTTTGTTTCCATCTTGTTTCTGCTTAAAAGTATTTCTGGGTGAGAATGAGATGTGTTCGGTTGCCACAGACAAGGGATATGGGGCGGAGAAAGACAGTTCGGCAAAACCATCTGCCCAATCGGTGGCTCTTGTGGAAAAGGTTACTCCACGTGGGGAAACATTAGGAGAGGAAGTAAAAATACATCATCACCCCGCCTTTATTCAAATCCATGGCATGAACTTCCTTGGCAGGACGGCTATGAATCTCCCCTGTTTCTGAATACTGATGGCCAGGGAGCCTGTCAGAGGACAGTCGTGAATGTGTCCAACTTGCTGCTGGCAGCTGGCTAGACCCTGAGTGAACCAACCCAGGCCCTAACAGAGTTGGGAGGGAGATCCCTTCAGGAAAACCAGCCTGCAGGTTGCAGGGGAGCGTAGGCTGGCAGAAGCCACTGATATGCCACGGATGAGCTGGGATGGGAGAGCTACGGCCCTTGGTTGTGTGTGATGGTTTTAATCCAGGGCCGGATGGGGGTGGTCTTATTTTTCTGCAATGTTATTGTCATTAGCTGCCCAAGGTTATATTGTCTGGGATGGGCGGCCATATTAAATAAACAAATAGGTATTGCATAAAAAAAACCTTAAGAAAACTAAACCAGTTTTGCTAGTTTTTCCCTGTTCAGAGAAGAGAGGCTTATCTGTCTAGTCTGTGATTTGTTTAGTCTGCAGAGTAATCTGTCTTTTCATCTCTGCTTTAATGCAACATATATTGCACTGAAAAGGGTTAGCAGGTGTGTATTGTCCACAATTGTCCATACATATAAAAATGTTATTTTAAAATTCTAGTTCAATATATGGTGGTCTCCCTCAGTGTGTATGAACGAACGAACGAACGAACGAATATATGTATATGTAGATATATACATGTATACCCACAAATTATACCTCTTGTGAAATGTGGGCAACTTCTCCTTTCTGGTGATCCAGATCTCTCGCAAGCAATGTATTTTGCTTCTCTAGCTGTAGCAGTCTTCTCGCCAAATGCACGCTGTGCCAAGGCAAAAGAACAAAACAAAATAACCGGGTATCTTTCGAAGTAGGATTTATGCTTACTTTTCCTTAGCACGTTAACACAGACACAAGGTTATAAAATATGATGGACAGGGGGGTTCTATTAAAGTTATTCCCGCGCCACTATCAGTGCAACACATGCAGCCTTTCCTCCTTTCCACGTGTGCTCCCCTGCAAGAACAGAACTGCCATTTTTGCACAATGCGTGACTTATCCTGTTCTTCGGTGGGTAGCTTGTGGAAAGCAGACGGGCTCAAAGGCAGGTTTTGTGGCTAATAATTTTGGTGGATTTTTCTTTTTTTAATATTGGTGTTAGGATTTATTTATTTATTTATTTATTGCAAACCCATTCCAAAGGAAAAATAACAAATTTTGACCTCCTTTTCACACACAGTTTGGGGAAATATATTATTTGCAGTATACCTTTCATGCACTGTACGATGCATAACATATGAACCATGTTTATCATCCTACTTTGTTCCTGTATGTAATCTGTCAATGCAGTTAGTTATCTTGGGACCATCTAATTGAATCTGGTTTTGGAGAATTGATCTCCTGGATTCTCCTACCATATGCTATGGATTCTGATTTCCCTCCCTCCCTCCCTCCCTCCCTCCAATTTAGAATGTATCCGATCTTTAAGAGACCAAATGCAGGCAGAGAGCGACGCTGGTGGGCACATTTAAAGTTCTGAGAACAGGGGGCATTGTCACAAACAGTGGGAGGTCTTGCTCATTTATATGGGCTTGCCATGGCTAACAAAATTCCTACTTTCCAGAATGCATCTGTCCGTAGGATGGACTTAATTTCAAGACCTCTGAAAAACAGGCCAGCAGTACAAATACAGCTGCTGTGTAGGGGCTGAATTATATCACTTTCTAGCCCTGGAGTTTGACGCCCAAAGCCAGCCCCTGCAGCTTTCACTGGATCAGAACAATGTTCCCCCCATACTCATACTGTAATTAAGCTGCCGGGTTTATGATAGCAATTGGCTCTAGATGTTGCATTTTAGAAAGTTATCAGAAAGCATTCAAGCCCCATAAAATTACCTTCAGGTAGGCATTACAGAAAATCATCTTTCTTTCTCTTATCTAAGTTCATTAGGTAAGAGTGATGTTAAATTATAACATCACTGGAGGAAATATATGAAGCAATTTATTGTTATTGAAAAAACAAAACAAACTCAAAGCAAAACATTCAACCATGCAAACTTCATCCACTCAGGACTGTGGGGGCTGTGGGGGAGGAGGGAGAAAGGATAAGGGAGCACCCAAAACTACGTAACCACGGTAAGGGGTTACAATCGTTTTGACTTTATCAGGCTCGCACCCTGGACGTCAGCGCACCGACGGATTTCTCTGCAAGGAGGTCCTCTCTCCTCTTTCCAGAGAAAGACCATCTACGAGCTCCAGAGGAAGAGGTTTCTCAGCAGAAGCACCTTCCTCCTCTCCCTCCCGCGAACTGGAACCCAGACTGAGCAGTGCAAAGGGAGGGCTCTCAGCTCAGCAAGGCCTGGATGGGGCTTAGGAGGAAGACCCTGGCAATTCCAGGGCCTGTTTTCACTTTGTATTTTATAAAAAGGCCAGTGCTTTGGTAAGTTGAGGTTCATCTTCATTTTCACAAATGCAATAAAAAGGAAAACCTGTAATGACCAAAAATAATTTATCATCCAATAATGTTGTTTTAAAAATAATTGGCTTCTGAAGCTGTCTTTCTAGCACCATTGTAAAACCTCAGTTCTGTCACAGTAGTGTCA